GACCCTGCGCCAGCCAGTATCCTTGCATCCATATATTTGTATATTCATGCATTCCACCAAAGGGCTGGGCTGGGCTCTGAGGCTACAGAAGTAAGCAAGGCACATTCCCTGACTCCAGGGGGATCACCGTGTAGGGGATAAGTGTTCAAATATATATGTCATTATCCTCCTCCTTGGATGGACAACAGCTTAGCTGCCCAAAGTAGGCCGTCTGAAGTAGGACTTCTCACCCAAAGCACTATTAGTATTTGAGACCGATAATTCCTTGTTTTGAGGGGTTGTTCTGTGCCTTGTAGGATGTCTAGCAGCAAACCTGAACCCCACTCGCTAGATGCCAGTAGCACCCCCTCAGTTGTAACAATGAAAAACGTCCCCAGACATTGCCAGGAGTCCCACCCCAGTTGAGAATCACTGGTCTAAAGTTCATGGGGGCTGGTGGAGAAAATGCCTTTTGAAATTTCAGCAAGATCTTAAGGAACTTGCTCATCGAATGAGAGCTTTGGATCAGCTCAAGTGTCAGGTCCTCAGCTGCTCCTCCCACCCCCTGTGCCTGTGTCTGGCTCCGTAGGCACTGGCTGCACTGAGTGACAGGTGGCTGGCGCCATCTCTCCCACCAGGCTGTGAGCAGCTCTAGGAGAAAGGGTGTGTTTCATTCACCTTTGCGTCTCTAGGCCTGGTGTTGAATACTTGCTGAATCAACACTGAGTGGCCAGCCTTCAAAATATTGTATCCAAGAACAATTATCAACCTAAGTGCCCAATGTTGGCCAATTTTTAAAGTTAATTAAAAACAACTGCTCTCATCCAGCCAATTATTATAAAAACAATCTATTTCAAGTCCAGTAATTTGAATATCCAGATTTCTATTTAATTGTTCATTTTTAATTAACAGTTTTATGTAATATTAATTCCCTCTATTTCAAAATTCAGCAAAGGAGATTTGAAGCATACAAGAGAGAAAGCTTCTGACCTGAGAGCAGCATCCCTGTCAAGTGGAATTCATTATGGTGCCTCCTCTCTGAATCCCGTTTTGTAGACGGGGAGAGTCACCCTTCTCTTTGGAGTAGTTTAGGAACAAGGAAAGAAAAGAATAACCAAAAGGCAACTTCCTTGTTCTAAGGAGTCCATGATGATCACATTTGCCCCTTTGCACATCATTCACTGAACTTGCCATTGATCGCTGTTTATCAGCCATGAGGATCACTTGAACTTGAGCCTAGCACAGACCTCACCAATGCCGAGAGTCTTTAGAAAATGATCGTATATAATCTTTGAGTAAAGATTTCTTATCCCTTTAGTTGTAAGGAACTTCATGGAGGCTGCCCAAACCTACGTATAGGAAGAATGAATTTAGGGGCAAAGAAAACGTCCCCCATCACACTCCAAAATGCCTTCAGGATCACAGTGTCTGAAATTTATGAGTTTTCCATTTGAATTAAAAATTTGAAACCTCCTCTTTAAAATTCTATGTAAGAAGGGCCTTGTCGATAACGTTGCTCATTACCTCTCAAATTTTATCATAATTTAATAGATTATGAACTCACTCAGCAGGGCCCCGAGGAATGGAGCATGGGGCAGAAACATTGTGGTGAGGAAGAGAGAAAAAGGAAAAAATAGTTTAGGACCAAACTGTTTTTAGACCAAATAGTTTGGGACTTCTCCCAGATGGGAGAAAGGGGATCAAATATTAACAGTTTCACTATTCGTTGAATCAGTATTTATTGAGTGCTGCATTAGGTGCGGGGCCTGCAGCCAGGTAAAGGAAGCAGCCTCCATCCTCTGTCTACTGGCTCAACAGGAATTAACTGAATAGCCATAACAATAAATGTAAAATTTAGATGGAGCCCTGGGTCCCTCATAGGAGGAAGAGAAGGGCTGGAGAAGCGCTGAAAATAAACCTCTGGAAGAGAAGCTAGTGATGGATATTTCTGGCCATGTGTGCCCTGCAGTCTGATGTTTATGCCTTGGTTACATGAAGTTTGTTCATTTCAGGAATGATGGGGATTACAAGATTTGCAAACAGTTCCGTCAAGCTCTGACTTAAATAGTTGTAATGCTATTAAGATTCCTGGACACATGTCAGCCCTTCCTGCTGTTTAGAAAACAACATCAAAGCTTACCTCCCTGGCTCTCCTAACAGTAAACTGAACCAAAGTTTGCTTTCATTTTTAGTATTTACTAAGCTGCTTTGGTGTTTCATGAAATAGTTCAGGCCAAGGGACAGAATGCAAGGTTATTACACTCCAGCATTGTTCTAAGGCTATGGGAGTAAAAGTGGCAAGGGGCCAGCCCCTACCCTGGTTTTCTCCCTGGTGATTAAGGAGGATTAGTGGAAAGTGTATAGAATGTCCGAGCTCCTGGTTACATTTGCAGAAATAAAACCCTCCCAAACCCAAAGCTCTGTGTAGCCCTTGCATCCGGTCGCGGTGACTCTACATTGCCCGGGAACTTGGCAGGGTGACATACATGCTCTTGAAGGGCTACAAGGGGAACGGCAGTCACTTAAAAGGGAAAGCCAGGTCTTTGGAGGTGAGCCCGTGTGCAGAAAGAACGCCTCCCCTTCACAGTCATGTCTTTTCCAAAGAGGAGAGGTGATAGAACCCTTCAGCATCTGGGGTCCTGAGCTAGACAAGGCACAAGCAGGCTCCCAGCTTCACAAAGGGGCCTCATTCCCAAATCGGGTCGTTGGGAACTTGGGTCGCAATTTGTCACAGAGACAGTGCTGACAATGATGATTACAGATCTAGGGATGTCCACAGATAGTCATTTGGTTCGTAACACGGACATTCGTTCTAGCTACATTATTGTGAGTTAAATAGAATCGATCAACTTATCACTATTATAGTTTTATTTCTGTGTGAAAGAGCAAAGTACATCCCAACTTGGAGTAAGGTACTAGGCATCGATCTCCCTCGGCTCCCTCTCCTCCATCCCCATTGTGAACCAGGTGGGGGACATCCTCCAAGCCCCCCCACCTCACTGGCCAGTGTCTCCTGCTGCCTTCCCCCAGAAGCCTTTAATCACCAGAGAGAGGAGATCACAGTGTTTGGGGGATTCTCCTAGTCTCCAAGCTGATGAAGGAGTACATTTGTTCTCTAGCTCCGGAGAACAGCCTTGGCCTCGCAGGCGAGGTTGTAAGAAATTTCTGCTGTAGAGTTAGTGTGATGAAGGGCTGCCTGGGTCAGTATGGGGAAGGAACATGTCTCAGCCAGTCCCTGCCAACCCCAGTGGCTTCCACAAGTGACATGCCCATGGAGATGCATGTGAATCTAGTTGACCAGAGCCACTCATCCGTGGGACAGGCTCGCCTTGCTCAACAGGACGTGCCCCTCACTAGTCTTCAGGCAGAAGTTGGGTGGCCCACCGGGAGGACCACAGAGGAGGGGATTGCTACTCTCAGAGGGCAGTCGGTTAGAAAATATTAATAATCCTATGTTAGTGACTGTCCATCATAGGCTAAACACAGGGGTGGGTTGCTTCTGATATATTATTTCTAAGCCTCACAGAGACTATTAGATGCGATCATCTCCCATGGTACAGATGGAGAGACTAAGGCTGAAAACATAGGCAAGATCAACTGAGTAACAAATGCCTGCATCAGAGCTTGACTTGGCCTGATTCTAAAGCATATTGGTTTTTTGCTTTTTTGCTTTTTTTTTTTTTTTTTTTTTTTGAGACGGAGTCTTGCTCTGTCGCCCAGGCTGGAGTGCAGTGGCACGATCTCAGCTCATTGCAAGCTCCGCCTCCTGGGTTCACGCCATTCTCCTGCCTCAGTCTCCTGAGCAGCTGGGACTACAGGCGCCCGACACCATGCCCGGCTAATTTTTTGTATTTTTAGTAGAGACGGAGTTTCATCTTGTTAGCCAGGATGGTCTCGATCTCCTGCCCTTGTGATCTGCCCACCTCGGCCTCCCAAAGTGCTGGGATTACAGGCATGAGCCACTGCACCCGGCGCCTAAAGCATATTGTTTTTATATTCCCACTCATAGTCAGTTCATTCCTGTACTAAAGTGGAAAATGGTGTGAGTTACCTGTATGTCAGGGTCACCCACCAAAGGAACATTTTCCACCAGGTATGTAGCATGGACAGCCTATGTGTGTGTTATACACTCAGCACAACAAACATTCAAGATACGAAGGCACCATGGCCTGGGTGTGTGTTGCGAGTGAGCGTATGAAGGATTGGGGTGCTGGGTAGGCAGATGAGAGAGGAAGGGAAGGAAAGGGTCTGACCAAAAGGGCTGTTGGCACCTCTGAAAAAGGGCTCTCCCCATCAGATACCTACCACCATAGCCCCTTGATGATGGCCCAGCACAGGCCCCAGAAGACTGACGGAATTCAGATAGACTGTCTGTGGCGAGGTTCAAAATAGAAAGTGGAGAGGACTTTGGCTGTATTACATTTGAGGGATGTTAAAATATTCAGCTCTTCTTCCCTCACTGTCTCCAGTTCTCCCACTGCTTTTTCATTTTCAGATCACTGGCCATGTGTCTTTCTGTGCTGGTGGGAAAATGATGATTCCCCACTTGTATTTTCACCTTTAAATGTTCTGTAGTTTACATGAAATGAAAAGATTCTGAGATTGTCACCTTAATTTTAAGAATATGGATACCTGTGTGATTTCCTATCCCTCAGCCCAATTTGCCAACAGCACCAGAGGCGTCTATGGGATCACTCTTGCCGGAAGTCTGTGTTTCTGCCAGAGAGCACTAACCCAAGTGCTTACCCTCACCAGGTCGGGATGTATGGGATGCTTCACCTACTTCCCCGAGGGAAGGTATCGAGCCCGCCTCCCAGCCTTCTCACCTCCCATGTGTACCCGAGGTCTGCCCCGAGTGATAGGAGCGATTCCTTGGCTTGACCTGGAAGCATGGCAGTCCGGGCTGGTGATGAGTCACAGTCGCAGAATGAGGGGAGGCACCCCTTGCCCTGCGTGTGTGGGCGCCAGGCAGCTCAGGGGTCCCGGGAGAGTGGAGAGCTGACCTTCTGCTGTTGTTTTAGCGTCCTGCTTGGTGCACTTGGAGAGGCCTTGCTGGTTTTCTCAGAGCGGAAGGGCTCCTGAACAAGACGGTCAAGAGAAGGAGACTCATCGGCTGCTGTGGGAGAACATCGCCCCTGGTCTCATAGCTCCTTGTTGAATGTGTCAGAAAGAGGAATGCAAGGACAATAAGACCAGGTGGGCAGTGCCATCGCCCTCACCCACGTGAATGTGGTGGTGGCTGATGAGGCCGAGGCCCTGCTGCTTCAAGGAGCGCCCTTTCTGGGGGTCTGCAGGTGGCTGCAGAGGAGCGATCTGTTACATCTTCCCATTTGGAAGCTGGTTCTGCAGAAACAGGAAGTACAGGATTTCACAGGCTGGCTCTACTCACCTCGACTGAGCTTCACACCTCTGGATGCCACATGCTGTCTCCCAAACACTGCTTTCGGTGCAAGGTAGTGGGCCTAAGGGGTTTGGTTGTCTTTTTTTTTTTTTTCCATTTTTAAAATTTTAAAATTTTTATTTATTATTATTTTTTAAAGACAGGGCCTCACTCTGTTGCCTAGGCTGAAGCACAGTGGTACGATCACAGCTCACTACAGCCTTGACCTCCTAGACTCAAGCCATCCTCCTGCCTCAGCATCCAGAGTAGCTGGTGTGCACCACCACACCCGGCTCATTTTTTCTATTTTTATTGTTTTAGGGATGGGGATCTCACTGTGTTGCCCAGGCTGGTCTGAAACTTCTGGGCTCAAGCAGTCCCCCCACCTCGGCCTCCCAAAGTATTGAGATTACAGACATGAGCCACTGCACCTGGCCTTTCTCATTTTTATTTTTAAATTGACAGACAAAATAGTATGCATTTATCATGCACAACACAATGCTTTGGGAATGGTTAAATCTAGCTAACAAATGCATTATCTCACACAGTTATCATTTTTATGGTGAGTCTTGGTTGTATGTTTTGTTTCGTTCATGATTTTACATCCTTGGAGTCTCCTCTGGGTCTGTCCGTCCTTTGCTGTCATGCTGGCTTGCCTAAGGCCTACCCTCACCTGTGTACCAGCATTTTAAACTCTGGAGTGAGTGATGTTACTTTCTGTGGTTGATGTTACTATTCATTTCCTGCCTCTAAACTTCTCATGGTCCTTATAAACTTGTCAGGATGTGTGTTGCATTGAATTCTGCATGTCCTTTTTTTGCCAACCATTAGGTTAAGCTGGTACTGACTTGTCACCAGAGGAAACAGGGTTTATGAGCACTGACAGATGTCTTCCCTGGGCAAAAAAATAAATAGTATATGTATACACACACACATACATATTTATATTTATATTTCTTAAAGCTTTTAATCCCTTTCACTCCCTGATACCTCAGAGATTTCACATCATTGAACACTGAAGTATATTTTTCAGGCCAGATGAAAAATTGTATTAAAACCCTATTCCTGGTCAGGCGCAGTGGCTCACGCCTATAATCCCAGCACTTTGGGAGGCCGAGGTAAGCAGATCACCTGAGGTCAGGAGTTCAAGACCAACCTGGCCAACATGGTGAAACCCTATCTCTACTAAAAATACAAAAACATTAGCCTGATGTGGTATTGTATGCCTGTAGTCCCAGCTACTCGGGAGGCTGAGGTAGGAGAATTGCTTGAAGCTGGTAGGTGGAGGTTGCAGTAAGCCAAAATTACACCACTGCACTCCAGCCTGAGCAACAGAGCGAGACTGTCTCAAAAACAACTACAACAACAACAACAACAAAAACCCTATTCCTTGCCTTTGTAGGAGTCAAAATAAATGAACTTTTTTTTCTTTTTTTTATTATTATACTTTCAGTTCTGGGGTACATGTGCAGAACGTGCAGGTTTGTTACATAGGTATACACGTGCCATGGTAGTTTGCTGCACCCATCCACCCATCATCTACATTAGGTATTTCTCCTAATGTTATCCCTCCCCTAACCCCACACCCCGACAGGCCCCGGTGTGTGATGTTCCCCTCCCTGTGTCCATGTGTTCTCATTGTTCCAACAGAAATGAATTTACACAAAATGGTCACTTGTTTCTGAACCCACCAAGAAAGTTTAAAAAAATAATGACTAACTCTAAATATTTCTGTTCCTAAGAGATGTTTCACATACTTGACCACTCTGCCAGGTGTCAGAGAGTGTGGGCCATTCAGGGTGACCCATGAGTCCTCCTCAAGCAGGGAGCCAGGCCCCGTAGTGTTGAGTACCCATGTATTGATGGAGACCCCCTGCCCTGGCATCCGGGAAATACGCATGCCCATACTCAGCCCCATGGAGAATACCGTCAGCTCAGTCGGTGGCTGTTGTTGCTTCTGCATGTGTTCCCCAACTTGTTGAGAAAAGAAAGAGAAAAAGAAACAAATAGCAATGGATTCGTGTATTTGGAACTTGAGTACCCTAAATTCATGCCCTTGTCTTTTCCTGGTCTCTGCTTCTCATGTAAGGTGAAAATGCTAAGAGTGACCTTAACACACATGGCTTTCAACTTACTTTTGTTGTTGTTTCGTCTTGTTGTTTGTTTCCATGAAAAATATTTGTATTATTTTTTTCTAACCTCCAGCTGATTAAACAGGTACCTGACACTTATTAATTTGAAGGAAAAATAATAGTAGCTGCCTGACATACCCTCTTATTTTGAAGAGTCTCTACTTGTTTTTTTCATTTTAATTTTTTTTTAATTTTTAGTTCTGGGGTACATGTGCAGGTTTGTTACATAAGTAAATGTGTACCATGGCGGTTTGCTGCATCTATCTACCCATCACCTAGATATTAAGCCCAGCATGCATTGGCTATTTGTCCTAATATTCTCCCTCCCTCCCCACCCTATGACAGGCCCCGGTATATGTTGTTCCCCTCCCTGTGTCCATGTTCAACTTATTTTTGTTCTTCATCTAGGATGTCAAACTTTCTAGAGACTGAGGATCAAATAGAAAATCTGGGTTTAGAATTGTCCTTATTCTCTTGCTCCCATAAAACTCTATAAAACGGAGACCAGTTCTTTTCCACTTGCAGAAAGTGGCATGTGTCCAAATGTCATTTTATACCTGGCTTTCCAAGTGCCATGTAAGCAAATGGAGGTTCTGATGACTGCGAAGAGCCATGCAGTTCAAACCCAGTCCTCTTTCCGGCAGAACTGGCCCCAAAAGCTTTTGCTGAGAAGTTTTAGCTCCTTTTTCAGATGGTTCTCTAGCAAGCCCGTATTTTTTTGTTGCTGTTTGGTTGTTTGAATTGTCTTTCAGAGTCCTGTTTTTTTTGTTGTTGTTTGTTTGTTTTGTTTTGTTTGCTTGAGATAGGGGTTCACTGTGTTACCCAGGCTTGAGTAAAGTGGTGCAGTCACAGCTCACTGCGGCCTCAACCTCCCAGGTTCAAGCAATCCTCCCACCCCAGCCTCCCAAATGGCTGGGACTACAGGCACGTGCCACTACACCTAGCTACTTTTTTATTCTTTGTAGACATGGGGTCTCACTATGTTGCCCCCTGCCTGTTGTTCTTAAAATCTCAGATCTTTTCTTACATTGACACCAGCAAGAGCAGAGGATAAGTCGTTTCGTCCGTATGCTATCAGTTTCCTTCCATTTCTGTTGGTTCTTGGGCCTTTTTATTCAAGCTTTAACCACCATCTTCTATGCCCAAGTTCACGTGTTCAGCACTGAATGGAGGGTGAGCCCAAAGACCTGAACAGTGGAGTGGCCCCCTCACTGTAGCCCTGAGCTCCCATTTTCTGCACAGGGAGTCTCCAGGTAACCCCACACTGTCCCTTTGCCCTTGGATCCTGTTTGGCGCCTGATGACCTTAATCCTCGCTGGACCCCAGTCAGAGCCTTGGGATTTTGGGGCTTTTTTTATTGGTATAAATAAAGAATATGCTTTCTATTAGGAGAGGCAAGGTTGTGTACAATGGTGTATTATTACTTATCTGCTGTGAATATAAAGAAAAATAAGGGCCAGGCATGGTGGCTCAAGCCTGTAATCCCAGTACTTTGGGAGGCTGAGGTGGGAGGACTGATTGAACCCAGGAGTTTGAGACCAGTCTGGGCAACACAGTGAGCCCCCATCGCTACAAAAATAAAAAATAAAAATTAGCCAGGCATGGTGGCACATACCTATAAGTCCCAGTTACTCAGGAGATTGAGGCAGGAGGATTGCTTGAGCTCAGGGATCAAAGTTGCAATGAGCCATGACTGTGCCACTGCACTCTAGCCTGGGTAGCAGAGCCAAACCCTGTCTCTAAAAATGATAATAAAGGAAAAATAAATCATTTATTTTCTTTCCTTTGCCTTTCTTTCTGTTCTCTTCAATCCTGGCAGGGGAGTATTACAGAAAATATTTGTGTTACCCCTGGGGAGGGAGTTCTTGTAGCTTAAACCCAGATCCAGACTCCTCTTTCTGCCCACATCCAGGCCACTGAGCTTGGAACAGGGAAGGGTCTACCCAGTGCCTCTAGCCCTGTGCTGTCCAGTGCGATGCCCCTGGCCACGTGTGGCTTTGGAGCCCTGGAGTGTGGTTGGGCCAGATTCAGATGGGCTGTAAGTGTAAGAACACACTGGTTTCAAAGACTTAATGTTTTTTAAAGAGAATGTAAGATATCACATCATTTTTTCTATTGATTACATGTTAATATTTTTTATATATTGGGCTAAATAAAATATACTATCAAAATTACTTTCTCTTGTTTCCCTTTATCTTTTGTAATGTGACTGCTAGAAAATTGGAGTTCATAGATGTGGCTCCCAAGGTATGTCTGTTGGTCATTGCTGATTTATTTTTTTTTATTTATTTATTTTTGAGATGGAGTTTCGCTCTTGTTGCCCAGGCTGGAGTGCAATGGCGCGATCTCGGCTCACTGCAACCTCTGCCTCCCGGGTTCAAGCAATTCTCCTACCTGTGCCTCCCAAGTAGCTGGGATTACAGGCATGCGCCACCACACCCGGCTACTTTTGTATTTTTTTTTTTAGTAGAGATGGGGTTTTTACCATGTCGTTCAGGCTGGTCCCGACCTCCCACCTCAAGTGATCCGCCCGCCTCGGCCTCCCAAAGTGCTGGGATTACAGGTGTGAGCCACCGCGCCTGGCCTTATTGCTGATTTAGAGCAGTTCACCTACACTGGGGCCAGGGAAGTGGCAAAAGAAGGGGCTGTTGGTGGTGGTTGCTGGGGTGACTGACCCAATGATAATATTTAAGATGATAGTTACTGATGCCTATTTCATGCCAAGCACTGTGCTAGGTACTCTCCAGGCTTCCTGTCATAGATTCTTCCCAATAAGTGCAGGGGACGTTCTCTTCATTTTACCAAGGAGATTGAAAAGATTCAGTAACTTTTCCAGGCCCATCCAGCTGGGACTCCAACCCAGGTTATTCAAAGCCCATGCTTTGAACCTTCATGCTGGAGAGTTCTGTTGAGAAGGAGGAATGAGGTCCCCGTGTCTCACAGGGGTTGTCAGTTCTGCAAGAAGTGCTGAGGTGTGGATTCCTCACATCTCTGAGGTGATGTATGACTCTTCCTGAAGGCCACGCTCCTTCCCTTTGCCACCGGACAGGGTCCGTGGCCTGCTCTGCAACTGCCTTCCCAGCATGTCCCAGTTTCTTTCCCCGGCCTCCTCCCTCGGGTTCTGTCTGAGACTCTTCGTGGATGGGGTTGGAGCAACCAGGAGCACTTGGGAAATGGCACTGCTCTCACCTGAACTATCACTCTGAGTGTTTCCAGAGCACATAGCCACTGTTTGTTGGTTCTCAGTTTGTTTTCAGGCAATGGCATGTTCAGATAGCTGAGGAGCTCGAAGGTTGAAGGAAAAGCTGCAGCTTCTGGACCCTGAGAGGCAGTGTCATGAGAGGACACCATTCTTTTCACTGGGTCTGCATGCCCAAAAAAGGGAGTACAGTCACAGATCGGGGTGAAAGCACAAGCAGGTAATACCGTAAGTGGTTAGTCACGCTTGGAACATGACATCTCTATTGAGAAGTTGCCTTGGACAAAGTATTGAAATAGGATATGGAATTGGCTGGAAGTTCAAGTGGTTAGGACTCATTTGAGGTTACTTAATGGTCCTTTGATCCTTGTTCTGGGGAAAGCCAGTCAAAGGGGTGAGACTTTTGGGCTTCTCCTGGCCCCACCCAATGTCCCTGGCTTCAGGCTGTGTCCCTGAGCCCAGCCCGGAGAGAGGCAGTGGTGACTTGTCTCCAAAGATGCCCTGCCTCCATCCCAGTGGTATTCATGCTGCTCTACAGTTCTGTTCATTTCTCTTGGGTCTGGGCTGGCTCTGCGCCTTGCCTGTAGCCAATAAGGTATGATGGAAATGGTGCTATGTGACTCCGAAGGCTGGGTCAAAGCAGCCTTGCAGTGTCTGCCTTGGTCTTCTGACTGCCTCGGGAGCCCTGAGCTGTTGTGCAGGAGAGGCCAGGCGTGGGCGCTCCAGGAGACAGGCCCCACTGAGCCCAGCCTTGCAGCCGTCTTGCCAAACCACTCAACTCATGAAGGAGGCTATCCAGGGTCTTCCATACCGGCCCATCTGCCAGCCGAGTGCCATCAGGTGACCTCAGTCAGTGCCACATGGGGCAGAAGAATCACCCTGCCCAGCAGTCCCTGAATGAAAACCTGCCACAGAAGCATGAGATATTGTAAAATCATTTTAAGCCACTAAGTTTTGGGACAGCATGTTATGCAACAATAGAAAATAGAGCTGAGGCCCACCGTCCTGCCCTTTCTGCAAGATGCTAACGTAAGTGGGCTGCCCTCTGAGACCCTTGAACTCTGTTCTTCTCAGGCAGATCCAGTCTGGACTCTGAGCCCTCCCCTGTCTAGACTCTTATTCTGGGAGTACCGTTCTCCACTGCAGCTGACCTCAGCCCAGACGCTGTCCTCGGAGGAAGACCCCACAGACGGTCCGTGCCTTGTTCAGACCCCATTGCAGGGCAGGACCCACAGCCCTTAGCCATTGGCTCAAAGTACATCATTCATTCATTCAAAAATATTGAGACCTTCTGAGTGCCAGGCTCTGTTTTAGGATCTGAGGATATAACCACGAAT